GTTTGTTTGTTTGAAAGCACTAATCTCCGAAACTACTGGTTTGAATTGAATAATTCTTTTTGTGTTGGATAGTCCAGTTATCGAGGAAGGCTGTGGGCTATATAACATCACGCTACGACCAATAGGAGCAAAGATATAGTGGTAAATGTGTAAAAAACGGAAGAAATTATTTCATCTTTGAAGCCTTCCGTTGCGTGCGCCGTGAAAACGGTTCAAGATACACAAAAAATATGTATTAAAGAATAATAGCTCTTTTAATGATCTAAAAAACAGTCCAGGACAGTATATGTCTATCTTTTAAGATTAACTCACAAAAACCGTTTTTATGGTACCTAATTTCTCGAAATAATTTGTTTAAGTTGTATCAACATAATAATATTAATCTTTATTCAAATAAACAAATAAATATGTTGTTGGTTAAGAGTACTTCATTGTGAATAAAAAAAAATAGGTTTTATCCTGAAAATTCTACGGGAACTTGACCATTCCGAAAACCCCGCAAGAACGGGAACTATGTGGGAAGAACCAAAAATCTGCCGGAAATCACTATTCCACGCGGACGAAGTCGCGGCAAAAGCTAGTATATTATATGTACTTTCGATATTCTAGCACAACAATTAATATATTTAAACGTCATAAAAGTATTACGAAATCATAAATTATTAATTCTTATGTTTCTTATTGATTCTAATGAAATAACTTCTTTTACTTGGTTTCTATATTTTTTACCGTCATTCGTCATGTCACTAAAGAATTTAAATACTTAAAAAGGCAAGGAAAGTAGCAGTATTAATGTAGATTTAAAACAAAACTCAAGGTCGATTAAAGGCGTTAATAAAAATATACCTATCACAATTATTAATTGCTTACACTGATCTGTTTCAACACACGACAATTACAAAGTGCTAAGTCACCATTTTGCACAATCTACAATATCTATTTGGATTTAATATAAACCTCATTTTCAAAACTAAATAGGTATCACTCATATAAAAATATTAATTTAGCATTTTCCGTATATATATTAAATAAATTATATTGTACTATATTATTGTTATAAAAAAATAAACTTATACATATTAAAATAGATTTTTTTATTTATATGTTATCTGTCTGTTTGTTGCGATTAATCTGTAGAACTACATATATAATACTACACATATAATAACTTTTACTAGCAAATAGTGATGCAATAAAATACTATCATAGCAGCATTTATTCAAAAAAATTCAATAATTTGTATTAATATATATAACAAAAAAATTATTACTCTTTGCGGAAGAAGTCTTATATAAGACACATATTAGGTGATCTGTCAAATGTCATTTTTGACAACTGTTTGACAACTCGGAACATTTTTTTCTGTCTAAAAAGGTCTTATGTAAATAATTTTAATTTGATTTAATGTATGAATGCGTCCTTGTATGTAATTACCTGTTTGGTTTATATAGAAAAAACTTGCATACCTCATAAATAAGGCATTATAAAGAAAAATGTGGATATTATATCCAGAATTATACATACTTTTAAAGGTTTTAATGTATTTTTTATATTCTAAATAAAGATAAAAAAAGACTTTTGATATTTGACGAATATTTTCATATATAAATATAACTAGGTAATTATTTTATTATTCGTTATCATATTTTTAATTATATAAATTATATTTTTAAATATAAATTTTTCCCTTCTATTTACTTAGACTGAAAAAGAAATGTTTAATAGTATTTAATTTCTTTTCGTTCTCATTAATTTTTCATTACATACAACTAATTAAACGAAGACTTTTTTAGGGTAGAAAATGTAATTTTCAAATAAATTTATGCCGCTTAGATAATTTTCTAAATAATATTTAAGTATACACTTTTTTATATATTACTAGTTTTAGCCAGCGACTTCGTCCGCGTGGACTTCTGACTTACCCCCGCATAGAAATGTGTAGTGTGTTAAAATAATAGATATGGCTATATAAATACTCTCAGAATGTACATATGACTCCAAATTACATTGGTTCTTGCCAGGTTTGAACCCGCGCCTTCGGCAACGAGAGGCGGGCCCTTTAACCACTAGGCCACCACTGACTGTACTAGGCCACCACTGACTGTAGAAAAAATCTAATATATAAAATTTCCATGCCACAATGTTAGTTGCCGTACTCTTCCGATTTTCTTCACCGATTTTTACCAAATTTTATATACGTATACAATACGTCTGAGAATCGGCTGCTATTTATTTTCATACCTCTAAGTGATATTGGTGGTTCACCACTAAAATTTGGACGATTTTTTTTAATGTGGCATTAAAAACACATATGAACCAATTTTTTTACTTTTTTATCTATTTTTATATGGCTAAACGTTAACCGGATCAGCTAGTACTTAATATATATAGAATACTATTTTGTGCCCGCGACTTCGTCCTCTTTAATTTTGTCATCGTCATATCGTTAATCGTAATACTTTTTCCTTTGTTCGGATTTTTTATTTATATTTTTACCTTTACGCCATAAGTCTCCGTGTTCTGAAGTGCGACCGAATGATTTTCATGTTAGTTGTCAAATCTAATGTCAAAAAAAAAAACGTTTGTATGGGAAATAGAAAAGGGCTGTTTTTATGGTTTTCCCGGGATCTCCTTCCCTTCCCTGAACATCCACGAAAATTTCAAGACTAAGATAAGATAAATCCGTTCAGCTGTTCTCGAGTTTTGTTAGACTGACGAACAGCAGTTCATTTTTATATAAATATGTAGATTTCATACAAATATCTAATTGTCATCCATACGTCATTACATATCTGTCATTATACGTCAATTATACAGCTGTCATTTGCGTTAGTTGCATAAATATGTAGATATCAATAATTTTTAAAGTAAACAAGGTTTCTAACTTTCATGGAACGTAGTCATCTGTGTTTCTAAGATGGCTCGTTCTCGTGACAACCGTTGCTGAGCAACCGAGGTTAGAGCCTTCAGAGAAAGATGAAGATGTTACAATTTAAGGAATTTCCACTGAAATTTTAAAAAGGATATAAATATGACTTAGAAAATATTATCTTTTGTAAATATGCTCATGATTTTTTAAATTAAATTATATAAAGACAAGGTTAAACATTTTCTTTTATTTATGTAAACGTATTAAAATTACGAATGAAATTTTAATACTGTCTTTATTTTTGCATCCTTTTCTTAGCTAACCTATTCTATTTTCGATCCCTTTCACACAACGACTAATCTTGCATCTGTCTCTCTTTCACACTCAAACGATTACACTTCATCGTACATTAACTGCATAACAATTGACAGATAATATAAAAAATGTTTAGACAGATAATAATTATTCTCCTTACATATGTATTATGTGAAAAAATTAAAGTTCTTTAGTTTGAAAACTCAATTTGATAATGGACAAAAGTATCAACAATCTAATTTATATAAATTTTACGTTTGCACTTTTCAAATCGAATGAATATTTTGAATGTACCAAATTAATTTTTTATTTATTTGAATAAACTTCATAATATAATCTATGAAGGATACTTGAATTATATTAAACAGAGAACGTCATAAGTTGTAGGTAGGTGAAAAAAATGTATTGTTTATATGATGTAATTGACAGTACGATAAGTTCGGATTTACGAAAAATATTTTGTATTTAGAAATAACAAAGAAGTGATAGATCAATACTAACGGTGTTTTTAAACTAAACTAAAAAAGAAACGGTGTTGATATGTGTGTGAGTAGTATCTTCCAAACGGATGGACCGATATCAATCAGGTTAGTCTCATTTAATAGACAGTTTCTTTGCAGTGGTTCTTAGCTATATTTGGTAAGTAGGCATCAAAAAGTATAAGCATCAGTCCTTTTTCAAAATTATGAATAATTCTTGGCCAATATTACTCCATTAAGTGTTAAATGACGAATGATGTGCAATGGTTTGTTTTAATATTATAAAGTATTCATGATTAATATCAAAATCATTTACAGTTTATGTTTTCAATATCAATGGGACTACTCAAACATCGCTTAAAGGAAGTTGCTTTAACTAAGTCAAATTATTATTTAAACTTTTAAATTCATATGCTACAAGAAGAAATTCTGTCACTAAGTTTTGCCCGCGTCTTAGCATGATTTATTAAATGTCTAGTATATACATACAACACACACACAAGTCTTATATTTTTAAAAATTGTTTGACTTAAATGATACTAATATTGTTCGGATTAGTACGCGTATTTTATTAATTTAAAACTACATACTCCCGACGTTTCGGTTTGTGCAGCAACCGTGATCACCAAGACGAGATGTGAATGAATATTAATAAACTAGCTTTTGCCGCGACTTCGTCCGCGTGTAATAGTGTCCGGCAGATTTTTGTTTCTTCCCACATAGTTCCCGTTCTTGCGGGGTTTTCGGAATGGTTGAGTTCCCTTAACCAACTCTTAACCAACAATATATTTATTTGTTTATTTGAATAAAGATTAAGTTGATACAACTTAAACAAATAATTTCGGCCAAATTAGGTACCATAAAAACGGTTTTTGTGAGTTAATCTTAAAAGATAGACATATACTGTCGCGGACTGTTTTTTAGATCATTAAAAGAGCTATTATTCTTTGATACATATTTTTTGTGTATCTGAACCGTTTTCACGGCGCACGCAACGGAAGGCTTCAAAGATGAAATAATTTCTTCCGTTTTTTACACATTTACCACTATATCTTTGCTCCTATTGGTCGTAGCGTGATGTTATAATTATAGACCACAGCCTTCCTCGATAACTGGACTATTCAACACAAACAGAATTATTCAATTCATTGAAATGTAACTGTTTATATATATATATAAACAGTTACATTTCAATGAATAGAAATATTAGTTTCATTTAAATGAATGCTGCGAAGTCTCAGATCTCGTTAGTTATACATATAACTTAATATTGTATGAAGATATTAAAAAAATCCTTTAACAGGCCCTAGTGTTTAATTAAACTTTATTTGTTCCAGGATATTGACTTCGAAGGCTTTCGATGGTTCCTGGACACCTTCCTCGAGGTCACTACTCCAGATGACCTGGCGAGGTATGTGCAAACAGATGTTTTAATAATATTTCTATTTCATACACCTTTTAAACTAACATTCTTTTAAGAATCCAGTTAATCCATTCATGGTCAATTCTATGTTAAATATGTATATACATATATGTATACAAACGTGTTAGGTTTTTTTGAAACTGTGTTTGGGAAAAACTTAGGTTTTGTCCCGAACTTATCCTATAAATAAATTCCTTGAATAACCTTAAAGAAATGCCTTCAGCATCACCCTCCAAAATACATTCCTCCACAAATCTCCACACGTATTTTCATTTAAGGAAGTATAATTCTATAAAAAATACATATTTTACTCTCAATTATGAATAGAATTCATATTGATATCTCAATGCTCGTGAACATAAAACTCTGTTAAGTGTAAAAGTTGAAACGGCATCTACATATATTTAGATTTTTGTAAAGAAAATATAATATTCTTCTTACAATTTGTAAGAAGAGCAACGGAATGGTCTCTATCGTAAGAATCGAGAATTTTAATGAAGGAAAAGTTTTAATGACTTTGAATATATTTGTTATGTACCGAGATATGAAACGCTTTGAAAATATTAATTATAGGGTGGCAACCGGAGGTTCCAGGAAAACTACGAAACATACTTATATGTATATTGTAATACCATTCCATAGCTTGTGTGTATCAGGAATCTTCTGGTTCACACAGCTTGGTGTTCGTTCCGCGGAGTCAGCAGCGTCACTCGTTATATATTTTATCCATACAACGATGGTGCCCCGGCGATGTTCGTTTATTTCTTCATATGTAATGCTTACGTAACTTATTAAATATATATAATGACACTAATAACAAATATTAATGCCATTTATTTCCTACGAGAAAAAAAGACGCCTTATCAACTGTAGAGAAAAAGATAGCGCCTGCAATAAATTTTCTTGAAAGTCGTGTAAGATTACTCCCCTTTATCATCTTCGTGAAAGATTCCTTTATGCCCGTTACATTTTATCCAGCCGAGTGTTCCTAACAAACTTCGACACTATACGAAATAAATATATGTACATTATAAATGGAGAGAAAACATTTTTAAAATTAATAACAGCTGACAGGAAAACATCGCGTTGAGATAAAGAAACTGTTTTCCGACCTCTGACTAAAAGCAATCGTTTATCTCTTACAGACGATTGCTTTATTCAGTATTCTTATTTGAATCACTTTTCAATAGTGATGGTGTGATTTGTTTTATATCAATATTAAGACAAAACGTTAAAAAAAATATTTTCCTTTCACTAGTTTGTCGAAGTAAACGGATTGCTATAATTTAATTGCAGGCGTTTATTTAATTTATCCTATTGTTCTGTTAAAGGCATCTGTTTCTCTCCTTCGTGCGGAGAGACAAGAGACCAGCTCTTCGTGAGATGGCAGCAGCGAGCTCGACCACCGCTTGTGCTGCTGTTACCGCTCATGCTGACCATCCGGTATGTAGAATAGTTAACATCATCATCATCATCATCATCATCATCAGCTTATCAGAGCCCACTGTTGAGCAAAGGCCTCTTCTCATATGGAGAAGGTAAGAGCATTTATCACCACGCTTGCTCAAGACGGGTTGGTTGGTGATTTCAAATTTATACAAGCCCAGGCTTCCTCACGATGTTTTCCTTCATCAGTCAGTGGTGTCTAAATACCCTTAGAAAGTACATATGACTTGGAAAAATTAGGTACATTGGTTTCCAAACCGCACTCTCAAATGAAAGGCGAAAATTTAATGATCAGGCCACCACGACTTTGAAATACCAATCCATCGTCTTCAATCTTAATTGTATTAAAAATAATAATTGCGTGATCCGATTTAGTTTTTTCCTGATAAATATATATTATTTTAAAAAAAACGTCAATACTAAAAAAAACAATTTCAATAAAATATATATTTTGCGATAAGATAAGGTGTGCTTAAAATAATGTTAAAGGGTGCTGAAACCTATTCAGTATTTTAATTGTGGTGTCATGATGAAAATCATAATAAGAACGTAATAAGAACAACATATTGCAGCTAAATATAAAAGGCACACAGAAAAGTTATATCACAGTTACATCTTTATAAGCCAATTCACTCCCGAATTTGCATGGGACAGTATTGACCTGGTCGTGGGACGCAAATTTGACTTGTGTTTAAATAACTAGAGAAAGGAATTTAAATTTCAGGCAAAATTAAGTCTGGCCTCCAAGATTCATGGTCTCGCGGAGAGATTGCAGCAACTTGGAAAGGGTTCCGGAGATTCGGTGGACGGAGAGAAGGGTTCTAGAAGCAGAACTGGTGAGTCTGTAGTCTGTACTGTAGTCTGCAGTACTGATATCGTATCGTCACCAATAACTAAAAAAATGATACAATTTCTTTTACAAACGGTGGGTGGAGTTGTTTTTAAGGAGTCCCATTTCGGATTTAATGCAAATTCGTTGTTTCTAAAGAGAGAGACGCCAATATTGCTAACTTCACTAATGTACTTTGAGAACGTTCTATGACGTTTTATAATGAAATTTCAATTCTTCTAAAATAGGTCCTTGTATTTCTTGACGGTTTTCCATATTAACAGTCACTAATAGTTTGCAAGAACTGAATTCTTACAAAATTCAAACAGTTCTATCATCCTTTTAAACAGTCTTTGATTTCGTTTTAATTTTAACAATAAGTAAGTTTTATAATTATTGCTACTGCATCCCTTAGTAATGCTGATAGCGATCATATATATTATATCTGGACACCGAGCATTTTTAAGTGAACACGATTAGGAGATATTAAACAGTATAAATCAACAAATAATTTCTTAGTCTAACCTCAAAACAATCATTAATTGACTTCCTGTTACTTAACAACGCCATCTGTAGTTGTGTCGTTAAAGCAATTAGTAAAAGCAATTAGCAAAAAGTAGTATTACTATTCGCCAATAGATGTCAGGAAAAGTCTCAGTTTAACGCCTCCTATTTGTAATTATTTTCTCATAAAATGACATTTGCTAAAAATGATTCCGTTTAGATCGATTTATCGCTCCTGAAACCCCCTTTATACTAAATTTCATGAAAATCGTTGGAGCCGATTCCAAGATTCTAATTTTATATGTACAAAAAATTGCTCATTTAAAGATATAAGATAAGATATTAGATGCGTAAAATTCTGATAGAATGGTAACATTTTCCAGGCAGCGTTCATCCAATGTTCTCTGTTACGACTCATCCATCATACTCCTCTCACGAGCTGTGTCTAGGGAGGTTGGAGACCAGCCCCAGTCACAGCCAAATGTCGAGGAACTCCAGCCGGAAAAGCAGCAATAGCTTACGTGTGAATCAATCAACGAAGATAGAAGGTATATATACTGTATAGAAAGAGATTTTAAATAGAAAAATGATTTCACCTAATACTTTATTACTTACATATATTTATTACTATTATTTCCCAAAGAGGGTTGATGTCAGGCAGGCGGTCATCGTAAAAACCATTAGCCAAAACTATTTACAACATGTAAGACAGACTCTGGAATTGCCAGGAAGAAGAAAATTTATTAGTATTATTCGTTTTCGCATAATAATATTATGTAGTAATGAAATAATAAAAAGAAAGTAGTATTAATCGAAAGCTTTAATTTAATTTAAAAGAAAACACATGCAAACCTTACATATCATAATGAGATTTCAAATTATAGCAATTAATTTTTTTTATTCAAAATTGACTGATATTCAAGAAGAGGTCAGGATTTATATTATTTTTTATAAAAAAAGATGTATCTACTTAATTCTTTATTCCTTAAATACAAATATTGTACTTAACATGATTTGGTATTAGGAAGTAGTCTAAAACCGTCAGTAATTTTAATTTGTTTTATAGAATGAAACTAATATTTTTCAGATGTACTACGTGATTTTTATTTTCGACCATAAACTACATACTCCCGAAGTTTCAGTTCCTTTACAGCAACCGTGATCACGAAGACGAGATGTTAGATGTGTGATCACGTGCCCGTGATCACGGTTGCTGTAAAGTAACCGAAACGTCGGAAGTATGTAGTTTTTGACTAAAATGGAAATCGCGTAGTGCATCCCAAAATTATTAGTTTCATTTAAATGAATACTCGCGAAAGTTTTAGATCTCATTATGTTTTATAGACTTCAAGCACCTAATGCGGCGTCCTTCAACCATTGAAGTCCATACAGCAAGAGTCTCTCTTAAAGACATCGTGTGTTACCTCTCCCTCCTGGAGGCTGGCAGACCTGAAGATAAACTGGAATGTAAGAACACTACCAGCAGATAAGCTCTTATTACATCAACCACACTGATCATGCCCTTATCTGCTACTTTTTATTAAGATTTATAAAGTACAAATTAAATTTAAATTTTGCTATCATTAAAGTATGTAACAATAGCTCCGATTTTTTCTACAGCATTCACTTCATTTTATTCTAATGATTTTTATATAAATATTCAGTGTTATGCATTAGTAAATTTACTGACTGAGGATATTTTGTTCCAAGTGAGCCTCAAAATCTAAATTTCAATATTAATCATTAAGTAAGCTAATATGTATATGTATATCTGTTCTGGTACATTTCCAGTTATGTTCCGTTTGTATGACACGGATGGTAACGGAGTCTTAGACACCAATGAGATGGACTGCATCGTGAACCAGATGATGACCGTCGCGGAGTATCTTGGCTGGGAGACATCTGAACTTAGACCGGTGAGTCTACACAAACAGGGATGGGAAATATTACTAAATTTAACTCATAGAATAGCTTTACATATGAATTAGGTACATAATGAGAATGAGATGCTTTAAGACAGCAATGAGTTGAATTTTTGAAGTGAAACTTCGTGAAACAAACGTGATATAAATGCGTTAAACCTTTTACACTCCTTGGATAAAAAGAGCACTAACAAGTCCTAAAAATTGTTAAAGAAATAAAAAATTCCTTAAAAATCAATATCTACCCTTCCTGTTTTCAATCCAACACTACGAAGCTTCCTTCTTCCGCCCGCAGGGACTCCACGCACAATTGTTATCCTTTTATACTTATATATGAGATAATAATCAATTCATTTGTTGAAAGATTCTACAAGACATGATGGTGGAAATAGATTATGACGCTGATGGCACCGTTTCTTTGGACGAATGGAATAGAGGAGGGTGAGTTTCATTACTTTTTGTAATTCCTAAAAAAATGTTTTAGAATAAAGAAATTGAAAAGCACGAACTTTTCTCAATTATATACCACCTTTTTTACATTGCGTGTTAAGACTTGTAAAATATATCAAAACTTATTCAGTATGTTTATCTATCATCAATATAAATTTGCACAACCTATTCAACTTAAGTACTGTTTTAGGTAGAAATATGCAAAATAATACAAAAAGATTTTTGTAATTTAACAGTATAAAATGGAAAACTAAATGATACTGTACTTACAAAATCCTTATTTGTCTTATGAACACGATAGTTAATATGTTCAGATGTAAGGCAGAATGGACTAATTTTAATCAAACTTTGCGATAATATAGCTCATATTACAGAATACTAGTAGTAGTGGCAAAAGCTATACTTTATTTCATATAGTTTCTGCCTTAAGTAGAATATAGTATAGTAGAGTTACTGTTGTATTTTATCTGAAGGTGAGTGCCATACTTAGCCCACCATTATTTGTTTCCCTCTGTATGGAGTCCAACGGACAAAGCCACAGACAAAAGCTAGTGCAATATATGTATTTGTATTTCAGAATGACAACAATACCGCTTCTAGTATTATTAGGTTTGGACACCAACGTGAAGGAGGACGGCGAACACGCGTGGAGACTGAAACACTTCAACAGACCGGCGTACTGCAACCTGTGTCTCAACATGCTGGTCGGCTTGGGGAAGAAAGGACTCTGTTGTATATGTAAATAGAATTCATTTTAAAATTATATATTTTCTTTAGAAAGATCCTATTGTTTCTCCTGGAATCGTCAGAATTTACATTAAGGATCATATAATATACATGTTTTAAAAATCCGTGGTGGCCTAATGGTTAAAAGGCCTGCCTCTTATGCATGAGGACGCGGGTTCGATCCTGGCCCTGGCAAGTACCAATGGATTTTTCCGAGTCATATGTACTTTCTAAGAGTATTTAGACATCACTGATTAATGCATTCCCAAAGAGGGTTGATGTCAGGCAGGCGGTCGGTCGTAAAAACAAATAGCCAAAACTATACACAACATGTAAGGCAGACCATGGCTTAAGCTGGCGTATTGCCAGAAAAAAAAAGATAATATACATGTTTTGTTTTACGGTTTCGACTCTTTTGTGCCATACAAACTGTAATTTTTTCTTGAAATATTAAGAGTTTTTAAAGAAATCATAAATATATATTTTAGTTACACATCTCGTGAGATCTTCAATATTAAGATATACATATATTGAAGGACAATAATGAATTTCTAATCATTCTCAAATTACTGTACTGTTATATGAGTTACATATTTCGACTTATGTATAAATGTTTCTTTGTCAATCAGTCTGTAAGTTCACTGTTCACGAGCGTTGCGTGCAGCGAGCGCCTGCATCGTGTGTAGCGACTTACTGCAAGAGTAGACGAGCACCAGCCGCACTGGCGCACCACTGGGTCGAGGGTACGTATATACAGACAGACACACACACAGAGAGAGAGAGAAAGAAATAGTGAGAAAAGGACGGACTGATAGCGAGAGAATGAGAGAGGGATATGGAGAAAAAGAGAGGGAGGGAGTTAAAAAGAGGGAGAGAGAGGGGCTAGAGAAAGATAGACAGAGATAAATTAGGGAGGTGTAGTGTATATATGTATCTATACCAGGGCTGTCCAAACCATGGCCCGCGGGCCGCATGCGGCCCGCGGCTTGTTTGATTGCGGCCCGTAGAACCTTTTTTAACTGACTTCAAAAAAAGTTTCCAAAATTAACAAGCAAATTATTTTTCTCGCATCAAAATCGAATGTTTTGGGTATGTTCGATTACGCTGCTCACATCACTATTCACTCGAGAATTCGGGGAATTCCCCGAACGCAAGATACGTGTACCTACTACCGCGCATCGTTCATTGGGCATTTGTTTGTCACTTGTCATTCAACGCGACGAAAGTCTTGATTACGCAAGGTTACTCTCAGGTTAAAGACTTTAACATTATTTTAAAGTTTGTTCGCTTTGTGTTTGCGTATAAAAAACTTTTAACCTCATCATGTCTCCAAAGAAGAGGAAGTTAAGTGAAGAAAAACGTTCATTCAATGAGAAATGGGAGTTAGACTACTTTATTTCCAACAATAACAATAAAATTCAGTGTTTGATTTGTATGCAAGTTTTATCTGTAAGTAAAGAATATAATGTTAAGCGACACTATACTTCTTTACATGAAGAAAAGTATAAAAAACATGTCGGTGAAGCAAGAAAAGTTATGGTGGCTGAGTACAAAAAAAAAAACTAATACAGCAAACAACTATGTTTTCAAAAGTAAGTACTGAAAATGAACAAAGCTTGGCTGCTTCATATGAAGTTTCATTACAATTAGCCAGAGCTAAAAAACCATTTAGTGATGGAGCTTTAATAAAAAAATGCGCAGTTGAAATGGCTAAACGCTTTATGCAGCCGAAATTAGCGGAAAAGTTTGAATCTGTTGCATTATCTCACCAAACGGTGGCGCGACGAATAGAGGACATGGGTAATTATATTACGAAAAGTTTATGTGATTACTTTGTAGATTGCGAATATTATTCAATATGTTTGGATGAAAGTACCGACCAGACCGATGTCAGTCAATTAATAATCTTCATACGTTGCATTTCCAAAGATTTTACAATCACGGAAGAAATGCTGGATTTAATACCATTTCATGGAACAACTAAAGGCAGTGATATATTTGAAGCAGTTAACAAAACTATTGTAGAATATGGAGGATTTCGTAAGTGTTCTTGTATTGTGACCGACGGGGCAAAAGCTATGACCGGAAAAGTGACAGGATTTGCGGGACTTCTAATACAAAATGGCATTGATTGCCCGTTGTTCCATTGTATCATACACCAAGAAGCCTTGTGTGGAAAATCGTTGCGTCAAATGAATGCTATGAAAGTTGTTATAAGGATAACCAATTTGATTAGAGGTGGAAACAGATCATTGACACATAGAAAATTTAGAGACTTCTTATGTGAAATCGATGCAAACTATAGAGATTTACTATTGCATTCAGAAATCAGATGGCTAAGTGCTGGCCAGTGCTTGCAACGCTTTTTTGCCTTACGAAAAGAAATACCTTTATTTCTAAAAAATGAGATATCGTCTGACACTTCTGAACTACAAGATAAAATGCGAGATCCTCAGTTTCTGGCTGATCTTGCGTTTTTAACTGATATGACGCAACATTTGAATGAGTTAAATTTAAAATTGCAAGGTAAAAACCACAATATAGCCAACCTGTATGGAAATGTGAATGGATTCAGAAATAAACTTAAATTGTTCAAGACGTCTCTACAACAAGATGATTTTTCTTTTTTTCCAAGTTGTAAAGAACATTATTTAGAGATGAAAAATTTTGAAGAATGTAATTTCTTGGACCACCTCAAATACATGGACGAAATAATCGTCGAATTTGAGCGGCGTTTCGCAGATTTTGAAAAAATTGAGAGTGATATAGCACTCTTCACTCAACCATTAACAATCGCAGTTGAGACTGTAAACATTGATTATCAACTGGAACTGTGTGATCTGCAATCAGACCCCTTTTACAAGGGCAGAACAGAAACAGGCATTGATTTTTTTAAACTCCTCGCTGAACGTTTCCCGAAACTGACGAATTTCGGACAAAAAATGGGCTCGATGATGGGCAGTACCTACCTTTGTGAAAGTGCATATTCGACAATGAAGTTTATTAAGTCTAAATACAGGTCTTCATTGACAGATACTTCACTTAAGCATGCACTGCGCCTAGCTACTACTAATATTAATGTTGATATTGACAGAATTGTAAAAGACAAATTAACAAAACAGTAGGTTATCTACCTACTAAATAAAATAACAAATCATTATAAACTGTTTTTTATTTTTACAAATATTTTGCGGCCCACCAATGTATTTAGTATTTTTTATTGGCCCTGGGTCCCATCTAGTTTGGACACCCCTGATCTATACAATAGATATAATACACTGTCTCACGTACCCCACTGGAGTGGGTGGCATGCGCTCGGCAATCTAATGACTAGCGCGGAGCGGAACGGGGACTTGCGCCTGCGCTCTAGGCGGGGTAGTAGTGAGACAGTGACTAGTTATACTTACATGTAGGACCAGGGATACTACAGGAAGGAAGATATACAAACATAAATACACAAAAACCCTTCCTAATTAATATAAAAGTTTATAAAACGTGTGAATTAAAAAATTTACTTAACTTCTATGACGTAACTTATGGACCATTAACAGCTTGCGGCTAAGATTTTTAAGCTCATTAATATGCAAATAAATTTTATTTGCATACGTCATAGGTCATTGAACTTTAGGAAAACTAAAACTAAATAATTATAATCTTATATTACAGGAAACTGCCACGGAAAATGTGCGAGATGTCGGAAGAAAATCAAAGGTTATAACGGAATAACTGGACTACACTGTCGGTGGTGTCATATTACTGTGAGTAATATTAGTAGGAAAGAAGAGAATAAAGAATAGAATAGAATAGAAGAATGTACAGAGCATTTGTTACAAGTGGCGCCGTCTGTGGCGTACTAACTATAATACTAACAATTTTGTAATGTCAATATTTAAGTATCAACTTGTATTTGAAAACTATAAATACTGGCTTCAGCCATTTTGTCCGATGAATGGAAGTAACGCTGAACATTGAAAAACAAATCTGCAACTGTACCTCGAACATATATTTATTATATTTACAGTCAATAGATTCTTGTAGGCACATGAGAATATCTAGAAGTTTATCTCAAATTGTGAATATATATAAGTATTGTATGTAGTATTTTCTTCTTCTACCTGGCAATTTCCCAGCTTTAGCCAGGGTCTTACATGTTGTGAATAGTTTTTGCTATTTGTTTTTACGACCGGCCGCCTGCCTGACATCAACCCTCTTTGGGGATAATTGTAGTATATAATGTATTTTATTTCGTTCGTAGCTCCATAATCGTTGTGTGGGCAGCGCGGGTGGAGCCTGTACGCTTGGGAGACATGCGAGGCACATTCTACCTCCGACAGCCATCAGGCCGTTGGTACTAGACAGACAGAGATCACTACCACACAGACATACGCCTGATAAGGTATTCTTATGTTGTAAATATGTTGGAACCTTACTTGTAGAAAAAGAGGGAAGTATGGGTATAAGGAAATGGCAGGAAAGGGAACAGGGAAAGAATACAGAGTTAGAATCATGATAGTTGATCATTTCAATAAAACGTCATTACGTAAATTATTTATTTATTTATTGTAATCAATACAATGGAACTAGATCTAAATTATACGTGTTTTTTAATTTCAATGGCCATTTAATTAGTCTTTGTTATTTCTTATAACTAAAACCGGCACACGAACATGGGCCATAAGAAATTAAACCTAATTTTTCATGTCCATAATGTTTTATTTCAGCAAACCCTGCCAGTGTCGATATCTCTTCCTATCTCTATCGCAGCGACCACAGAAGAGAAGAAAGAAGAGAAGGAGAAGGAAAAAGAACACAGAGCTCCACCTATATCCTTTCAGATAACTCCACCAGAGGGCACTTGTCCGTTACTAGTCTTTATTAATCCAAAATCTGGAGGCAGACAAGGGTCTAGAGTACTTCGAAAGCTCCAGTATATCTTGAACCCTCGACAGGTACATGATATAGCCAAAGGGGGGCCAATGCAAGGTAGTTGTAAACCATCCTTATAGATTTTTATGTCTTTGATTCCTATCACAAAAAGTGTTTTTGTTTCAGGATTGCAAACATTCAAAGACGTTAGAAACTACAGAGTTATTTGTTGTGGTGGAGACGGAACTGTTGGCTGGGTGTTGGAGACTATGGGTATGTTGATACAAATATTCTGATAGACATAATATAACTACCTATGCATGCAACTTTTTCCGTTCATTGATGTACTAACGAAGTTATTACATGTGCTAAAAATACTACAACTCAATAAACACTCTAATAAATGAACAGTAATATGTGGAATAGGGACATATATTTTCTCGCTTGAAACAAAACAGATGTCTATCTCAATTCATAAGTACATAAACCTCTTAATATTCATGAAGAACATCAAATATCAGACAGCTTGACTCAATCTACTATCAAAATACAAGCAGCTTATAACAGATTTTTGACTAATAACAATTAATTTTACTCATACAATAATTTTTAAACTTTCCTTACTTTGAAACCACGTACCAAGTTATATCATTGTATATTTTGTTTGTCGTTTCCTCTCTCATGTTTCTTGTATTTCCAGATAAAATCCAGATGGAGTGTCGTCCAGCGGTCGGCGTCATCCCTCTTGGTACCGGCAACGACCTGGCCAGGTGTCTGCGGTGGGGTGGGGGGTGAGAATTAACCATAACTCCTAATACCGTTTCATAAAAATCACATAAAAAAATATTGCAAGTCAATTGAGATTAATTGTAATACAATAAAAAAGTGTTTGTAAAAATTAAGGCTTATGAATTATAAAGTTGTTTTCATTATTTATAAAAGTCACTTTAAGTGCAAACTTGAATTGATAAAGAATTTATTAATTGGTTCGTTTTTTGGTGTATGTGGAATATTCAAGAACTATTTACTGACGCATCTATTTATCGATCTAACGCAAAGTTTAGCAGCGATTAAATTCGTAAAATTTAACCTTAGTAATATCCAATTAAGTTGAAAATTTTATATTCGTAGTCTTTTTAATTGTTTATAAGTGATCTGACGGCTAAAATGCATGAAAAATGTACATCTGGAATTCAATTTATTTGTATCTGCTCAAGAAATCTATATTTCCTTATAGGATTTCATAGAGAAATATAAAAAACGAACATAATTAAAGCTCTGTCATATTTTTCAAAAGAATTCTATTTACTTATATTAATAAAATACCCAGGTATGAAGGCGAGTCAATCCATAAGATTCTGGACAAGATAGGTCGCGCCAGCACCGTCATGATGGATCGATGGCACATACACGTTGAGAATTCAACGGATGAGGTGAACTTACTACTATACTATACAATAATTAGTTAGTTAATGTAACTATAAACTGATGTCTTTATATAGAAAATGACCAAACGTTGACAAAGGACCAAATTTTTTCAAGTGTACACATCACGCTTAAAATTTTGCATGAGAAACTATAATAATTTTGAAAACAATTTTACTATACAGTACAATGATAAATACAAACTGCTTCTTAATACTAGTGAAAGTACACATTAATATTATTATAAATCTAGCATTAGGTTTTCACATTATTTTTGGGTATGGACCATATGAGTATACAAAAAATATTAGAATTACTGAATGTATTGAAATATCATCTTCATATAGAATAATATGTTGATATTCAATCTTTATGTTAAAATCCTTTCGTTCCAGGTGGAACAGCTCCAGATGCCTGACTCAGCTCCTCACCCTACATCTGTACCATACAACATCATCAACAACTACTTCTCCATAGGCGTTGTGAGTACAAAAATAAATTATTATACAGTAGAAGCTCTTTATTCGCGGGGTATATGTTCCATAAATATGCCGCGAATACAGAAACCGTGAATACGGAATGGTAATTTAAATGGGATTATAGGGGATGCGTTCTTAGGTGACAAAAATAAAAACAACAAATAAATTTAAAAAAATATTTAATTGAAGTTTTTGCACATTTTTATTAATTATCTTAAGGCTTAGGCAATGGTTTGAAGAATTTTGTAATTTTTTCTTGCTTGGCAGTTTTTAAAAGCTCTTTCAATTCAGACTGATATAAAGCAACCGCATTAGCAATTTGCCTCTTAAAAATGAGACTTCGATCCATAGAAGGATCAATGTTCATAAAGAAATCGCAAAGCTCATTTGCCATTCTTAAACCTTCACTAAGATTTTTCAAATTTGTAAATATCACGTTTCCAGTGTTTGTCGAAGCCTTTTCTTCAATGGGCTGTGAATTTAACATTTCGTCAAAGTCGGTTTATTATTGAGTTATAAGGTTGCTTTCATTCTGTTTGTTTACATTCTCAAAAACACGGCTCGCGGCGAAGGCGGCTTTTGTCAAAATCCTCGGCGATATCATTTAACAACATATTTATGGTAAAGTTCTTCTAGAAGAAGAAGACTTATGATTAAGTTGTAATAAGGTCTATTTTAATTTTTTATTAGTCCATATGACACGTATATTGTGTTTGATACTTATTGGAATAATTTTATTATTGTGTATGTATGTACTTATTAGATCCGCGAATAAAGAAATTTTTAGTCGCGAATATAAGAATTGGGTAGCATTTTTTGAATCAGCGAATAGTGAAAACGCGAATGAAGGAAGCGCGAATAAGGAGCTTCAACTGTATAATATGTCCCAGTAATTACATATATAGATGTCAACCAGAGGTTCCAGGAAAACTACGAAACTTACTTATATGTATATAATAATAAGAACGACATATTAAAACTTATAACCTTCACCTAAGACTACATGATTGTCCCGATGTTAGGATAGCAACACCATTCCATAGCTTGTGTGTATCAGGAATCTTCTGGTTCACACGGCTTGGTGTTCGTTCCATGGAGTCAGCTGCGTCACTAGTTAATCTGTCCCCTCGCCTCTATATATACCAACTCACACTCATTATTGTGACTGCACTTGCATTGGCTACGCAGGAGACACCTAATAATTTCAACTACTCAATTATTGATAATACAAATAATAGAAATTGCGTCGATATAATGAAATAATTCTCAACGTGGCCTTGTTAATCCTTCAAATAATGTTTGGTATCACATTATTATCTCATATAATATGTCTAACTTTCTATCTATTTCATCCACTATCCTCTCCTCCAGGACGCCGCTATCTGCGTCAAGTTCCACACGGAGCGTGAACGGAACCCGGACAAGTTCAGCTCCAGGATGAAGAACAAGCTGTGGTACTTCGAGTTCGCGACCTCGGAACAGTTCGCGGCCAGCTGCAAGAACCTGCACGAGAACATCGAGCTCGTGGTGAGATGGCTCGAGTAGACATATATGAGTAGACCAAGTATCGAAAAGACTGGTGGTGAGATAAGTGGATGGATGGATGGTCCAATAGTTGGGCCTCAAATATAGGAATAGAACATATCCAAAAGTTTTTTCCTGTATTCTAGAAAAGCAATGCATTACATCCAACTATTGCTAAAACTAACTTATAGTATTTCATTGACCATTGCAACGTAGAGATAGCTGAATAAAACTTGATTTAGAAGCTTAAGGACATTAAGAAATGTATGAAACTTAATAATGAACCTTACATTTAGTGTGACGGAGTTTCCCTCGAGCTGAACAAGGGTCCCGCGCTACAGGGAGTCGCTCTGTTGAACATACCTTACGCACACGGGGGGTCCAACCTGTGGGGGGCCAGCGGGGCTCATAGACGGGGGAGGTTCCCGGACGCGCAGCAAGGTGACACACACACACACACAAGCTTAATGAGATTTAAATACAGCACATACATAAATATAAAAGTAACTAGTCTTTGTCCATGACTTCGTCTGCGTCACTATCAAAATTAGAAATGTATCAGCCCGGTCAAACTCTGTGCCTCCTTAAAGACGGTAAATAAAAAGATTTTGGATTTTTTTCAGTATTTTTTTTCAATCGTATGATAAGTATCTCTTCACCAATTTTCAAATAAACCCGTATAGCAGTTCTTGAGTTATAAATAGTGTAACACTACTTTCTTTTATATATAAAGATATGTAATCGTTACTTATGTTATAGATATTGGTGATAAGCTGATAGAAGTCATCGGCTTGGAGAACTGTCTGCACATGGGACAAGTTAGGACAGGTAGGTCTACTTACATATATGACAACTGTATTGGAACCTATAATTAATATTTAAATATTACTTAGGATATAGCGTTAAAATAAATAAGATAATTTTATGAAAATAACTACAAAAAAGTAAAAGATATAGCTCCTCAGCTGTCTTGAAAATTGACCTTTGACCTTGCTCATACTTGTATATGTGTTATAATTAATAAATAATACGTTTATTATACTCCTTATTAAATTTACCTCACATATTTAAAGGTACCGTTTAATTTACCTGAGTTCCAATAAAATTGACTACAGAATTTTATCAAAGGAAGGTTCGGTCAGGTTTCAATAGACTCTACAATATTTTAAGCATGATCATACAAAAATAATATGTGCTCAAAGAAAACGCTATGACATAGGGCTACGAGCGTCAGGACGGCGTCTTGCCCAGTGTAGTAGCATCAGACTTATAACGAAAAGGACCTTCCCCATGCAGATTGATGGAGAACCATGGATGCAGCCGCCTTGCAAGGTAAGGAACGATAAAAATTTAATATATTAACCAAAAAACTTAATTTGGAAACAAAAAGACGTTAAATTAATAGAAAATACTAAAAACATGATGATAAGACAAAAGTAGGTGAACATTTAAGATGTCTTCTCATGTTGGTTAGTTCAGAAGCACTAAAAAAATATTACATAAGTTTTAATACATTAGAAGTGCAAAGTTTTCTCAAATTCCGTTTAACTTCTTTCAAAACTCGACTTGAACTGGTTACTAAATATTATTAAAAATTATTATTTATAAATTGTATAACATGTTTGATGAAAACTTATGCTTTCTTAAGCCTAAATTGAATTTTTAGTCGAAATTGTGACAATTTTTTGCCAGCAGTTGTTTAATAGATATTAAGATTCTCAATAATTTTCAGATAACAATAACCCACAAGAACCAAGTTCCGATGCTGATGGGGCCAGCTCCCGAAAAGGGAAGGAGCTTCTTCAAACTGTTCACGCACTGCTAAGTCCCTCTCACACCCATTCCATTTAAAGCCGGCCAGAAAGAGATAGATGTACGATATAAGTTTGTCCATAGAAACAATATCTCGTTGTTAGCATTTTAGTTCAATAATGACCACAACCCAACATGGCTTCTTCATAGCTTTCTAATCGAGGCTTGTACCAAAATTATACGTCCATTTTTGCAATTTTAAATAATATATTTACATGGCAAAATAGGATAAGCGTTTTTTTTAAGTTTTTCTTTTAGTTAAAGATAAATTTCTCTTTTAAAGACACGCTGAATAGTTTTTTGATCTATTTCCGTAGTAATCCTTGCGTCATCTATAAGTTCAAATGATTTGTCAATCAATCGCCATTTTGTTGTATCATCGGCGTATTTGTTAATGTATATTAAATGTTTTAATATCTGTGTATTGAAGATACATATATATGTGACTGTTTTTATGTTTTGTAAATATTATTATTAACAATGTAACTGTAATCTCAAACGACGGGTTTTAATTTTTAGCTTATATTATAGTTTTAGGATAAGTTTTTTAAATTTTTTAGAGCTTTTTTCGAACTACCGTCCATTGTGATGCTCTCGGTGTGAGTTTGACTTGATGATGTGTGAAATTTAGTTCAAAAAACTTATTGAATATTAAATACTACCTTCTTAGACTACACCAATAGAGTAGTATTAAGGAATGAGTTACTACTCTTAATGCAGTTACTACTCTTTATTCCTTTCCAGGAGTAAAAAGAATGATTAAACACCTGGAACAACCTCACAGGTGGCTATTAGCAGCAGTAAATTCAAAATATTGATACTACCAAAGTTATTTTAAACTCTTAATTACATTTTATTGTTAATTGAACTCATACCGAGGGAAGAAAATTGAGTCCTTTAAAAAAATATCACGCACTTTTAATAATTTGAATGCAACCTTACGTATTTTAATTCTGATATTTTAAGTAGTTAATACAAATGTTGTGTAAGTTTTTGTTATTTTCTAAGTGTTGGTGTTTGAACGACTATATGGCGGTCAGCGAATATTGAGTTCTATTTAAAAAATGATTATAAACTTATTACTTGTTACAAATTACAAATATTATATAAAAAATCTAGCTATGAACTTCTTATTATTGTTTAATTTATTATTAATCGAATTCTTTATATTATAAAAACTTTTTTGAAGACAACTACTTAGTTTAAAATATATTTTACTATGGCAACATTCGCTGAACGTCAAATATCAGATCGATGTAAACGTTGTTAATGATTTTTCTGTCGCGAATATTTACCTTTTACAGCTTTAATAGATGTAAGAAATATATTATTGTATATTGTAAAAATATATGTGCATTTAAAATAATTCATGGTTTTTTTATTGGTTTCATTTAACTACATATTTTATATAAAGATATATAAGACGGTGAAGGAAAACATCGTGAGGAAACCTGGACTTCTAATTTCAAATTATAAGTTTGAAATCACCAACCCGTCTTGAGCAAGCGTGGTGATTAATGCTCAAACCTTCTCCATGTGAGAGGCCTTTCAGCAGTGGGCTCTGATAGGCTGATGATGATATCTTTAATATTTTACAATGACAATGTACCATATATTCTACATATATGGATAAAAACACTTGTGGTTTGACAACACTGAACTTACAACATTCAGTGAGTGTATAAAAAAGCAATTAGTATTAAATTATTTTTGTAACAATAATGATTCATATCCCGACGTTACTTATCACTTTGACGCCTTCATTAATAAACTGAGATTGCTTTATACCAATTAAAAAGTTTAAAACCAGTTATTCGTTTGAACAGTAATATAATACATATTTACTAATTACGTGTGTATTTGAAATTATAGGACTGAAAATAATTTTCTTAATACTGACTAATATTGTCACACTATGATGAGTGTTGCCATTAACATACAGAAAAAATATTTTTGAAGTGAAACTTTTTATGACTCCCAACAAGGTTGCGTTAAACGTTTAACGCTCCTGGGGGGATGAATAGAGACAGAGCGATAGGTAATGCATGTCGCTCGAAGGCATGCGGACAATCAATAGTGACTTGTAAGTAATGTTAATAAAGTTTGTTTTAAAGAAACACTAAAAATTCCTTAAAAATCAATCTCCACTCCTTTCCGTTTTCATTCAACCTAACGAAGTTTCATTTCTTCAACGCGGAGTGACTCCACGCACTATGTTTTTTTATCCATTACTTAAATGAAATAAAAAAAAATTATAGTACCTTTAATTATCTACATTTTTAAACTTTATCTTTATTTATAGTTAAAATTGTATATGCTTATACAGAAACATAATGACAGCATCTTTTAAAATATTATTTATTACAATTCTTTATTATCATAATATGTCGTTCATTTCAACCAAACGCAAACAAAACATCAGTTCTTATAATTAAGATACAATTTCTCTTTTAATCGCTACATCTCATCCAACCGCAGCCTGTTATTATAAAAAAGTTAATTGTCAAACAGCTGTCAATGTCTAAAACTAATTATTTTATTATTTTGAATCACATTTTTAATATATGTATGATATTTTTGCTTTTGATTTATTTAGACTGAAAAGAAATGTTTAATAGTATTTAATTTCATTGTACTTCTATTATTTTTTAATTATATTTGATCCTAAATTATAGTTATTAAATGAAGACTATTTTGATTGTTTAAAAAGTCACTTTCAAATTAATTTATGCCGCTTACATAATCTTCTAAATAATATTTAAGTATACATTTTTTTATATATTACTAGTTTTAGCCAGCGACTTCGTCCGCGTAGACTTCTGACTTACCCTCGCATAGAAATATGTAAAGTGTGTTAAAATAATAGATATGGCTATATAAATACTCTCAGAAAGTACATATGACTCCAAATCACATTGGTACTTGCCTGGTTTGAACCCGCGCTTTCGGCAACGAGAGGCGGGCCCTTTAACCACTAGGCCACCACTGACTCTACTAGGCCACCACTGACTGTAGAAAAAATGTAATATATAAAATTTCCATGCCACAATGTTACTCCTCCGATTTTCTTCACCGATTTTTACCAAATTTTATATACGTATACAATACGTCTGAAAATCGGCAACTATTTATTTTCATACCTCTAACTGATATGGGTTGTTCACCACTAAAATTTGGACGACTTTTTTTAATGTGGCATTAAAAACACATATGAAAAAATTTTTTTACTTTTTTATATGGCAAAACGTTAACCGGATCAGCTAGTACTTAATATATATAGAATACTATTTTGTGCCCGCGACTTCGTCTTCGTTAATTTTGTCATCGTCATATCGTTAATCGTAATACTTTTTCCTTTATTCTGATTTTTTATTTATAAACTCAAACTCAAACTCAAACAACTTTATTCAATATAGAAGCATTACACTTTCTTATTGATGGTCACTTGAGACACTACCACCGGTTCGGAAAAGAAAATACCCTGACCTGAGAAGAACCGGCGAAAGAAACTCAGCAAATATATTTTTACCTTTACGCCATAAGTCTCCGTCTTCTGAAGTGAGACCGAATGATTGACATAGTACTTAGTTGTCAAATCAAATGTCAAAAAAAACGTTTGTATGGGAAATAGAAAAGGGTTGTTTTTAGGGTTTTCCCGGAACCTCCTTCCCTTCCCTGAACCTCCACGAACATTTTAAGTCTAAGATGAGATAAATCCATGCTGTTCTCGAGTTTTAGTGAGACTAACGAACAGTAATTCATTTTTATATAAATACTAGTAAACCCGGCGAACTCCGTTTCGCCACCAGAAGGCTTTTATATAACATTTCGTTTGGTGATTAAAAGATGAAGAATTTTTTTTGTTTTAAAAGGAATTTTTTTTTTTATTTGAAAAGGTAAATTTTTATTTCATTTCACAACAGTAATGAATTCATTTCGATTACAAAAATGAAGTGTTATTTAGTTGAACTTCTCTAAGTAAATGAAAGTGAATCCAAAATAGATACCGAATCGAAGCGTTATACGTGTCCGCAAATTACCCGTTTCATTGAAGTGCTCCTTTGTAAACCACATTTTTTGTTTTTTGGTCTAACTTTAACACAAATAAAGCGGACGGTTTCGAAACTCGTGAACACGCAAAATATAACGCCCATGTGAAAAACAATGATTTTCTAAATTTATCCCGCAAAAACTAAATGGTTTTAAGAGTTTAAACTACAAACACAATACCGGTTTGTCACATGAAATTAACTGAGAAGAGAACAATGAGTAGCTGTCAAACAATGTATCTTGCACCGGCACCATCTACTTAAAATATTGATTTGTAGTACATGTTTTGAAACGAATGTAAAACCGTGGAAATTGGTTCGTTCGTTCTGAAGTTATAGCGTCAGGATGGAAAACTGGACTTATTTTTATATAGTAGATCTCTTACAAATATCTAATTGTCATCATTACGTCATTACATATCTGTCATTATACGTCAATTGCATAGCTGTCAATTGTGTTTTGTTATTCCGTTTTATAGTGACTGACGTTTCATGTTAAGTCCCACGGGAATGCTGTCGAACGGGATAAAATGTATCCTATTGCAATTTCCTGTCTCTAAACTACCTCCCTGCCATTTTCAACTAAATCGGTTCAGCCGTTCTTGAGTTATAAGTGGAATAACTAACACGACTTTTTTTATATATATAGATGTAGATATAAATATCTTTTAAAGTAAACAAGGTTTCTAACTTTCAATGAACGTAGTCATCTGTGTTTCTAAGATGGCTCGTTCTCATGACAACCGTTGCTGAGCAACCGAGGTTAGAGCCTTCAGAGAAAGATGAAGATGTTACAATTTAAGGAATTTCCACGGAAATTATAAAGAGAATATAAATATTACTTAGAAAATATTATCTTTTGTAAATATACTCACGATTTTTAAGTTAAAATAAGTATATCTATATAGACAAAGTTAAAATTTTTGTTTCATTCTTTAGTTTGAAAAACTCAATTTATTAATGGACAAAAGTATCAACAATCTAATTTATAAAAATTTTACGTCACCACTTTTCAAGTCGAATGAATATTTTGAATTTAACAAAATTTCTTAGTTATTTGAATTGACATCTTAATAGAATCTATGAAGGATACTTTAATTATATCGAAAAGAGAACGTCATAAGTTGAAGGTAGGTGAAAAAAAAAATTGTTTATATGACGTAACTACACAGTACGATAAGTTCAGATTAACGATAAATCTTTTGTATTTAGAAATAACAAAGAAGTGATAGATCAATACTAACAGTGTTTTTAAACTAAACTTAAAAAAAGCTTTGTAGATGTTGATATGTGTGTGAGTAGTATCTTCCAAACGGATGGATCGATTTCAATAAGGCTAGTCTCATTTAATAGACAGTTTCTTTGCAGTGGTTCTTAGCTATATTTGGTAAGTAGGCATCAAAAAGTATGAGCATCAGTCCTTTCATAAAATAATGAATAATTCTTGTCCAATAGTACTCCATTAAGTGTTAAATGACACATGATGTGCAATGGTTTGTTTTAATATTATAAAGTATTCATGATTTATATCAAAATAATTTACAGTTTATGTTTTTCAATATCAATGGGACTACTCCAACATCTTTTAAATTCATATGCTACAAGAAGAAATTCTGTCACTAAGTTATGCCCGCGTCTTCGCATGATTTATTAAATGTCTAGTACATACAACACACGTATACACGAACTATACACGAAGTGTCAATATAAGTCTTAGATTTTTAAAAGTTGTTTGATCTAAATGAAACTAATATTATTCGGATTACTTCGCGTATTTTTAAACTACATACTCCCGACGTTTCGACGACGACGTTTTATGAATAAATCTTAATATATAAATAAAAAGTTTCATTTAAATGAATAGAAATATTAGTTTCATTTAAATCTCTTTAGTTATATAACTTTATATTGAATGAAGATATCAAAATTTCCTTAAACGGGCCCTGGTGTTTAATTAAACTATATTTATTCCAGGATATTGACTTCGAAGGCTTCCGATGGTTCCTGGACACCTTCCTCGAGGTCACTACTCCAGATGACCTGGCGAGGTATGTACAAACAAATGTTTTAATATTATTTCTATTTCATACACCTTTTAAACTAACATTCTTTTAAGAGTCCAGTTAATCCATTTATGGTCAATTCTATGTTAAATATGTATATACATATATGTATAAAAACGTGTTAGGTTTTTTTGAAACTGTGTTTGGGAAAAACTATGGTTTTGTCCCGGACTTATCCTATAAATAATTTCCTTGAATAACCTTAAAGAAATGCCTACACCATCACCCTTGTGTATTTCTTCCAAAAATCTCCACACGTATTTCCATTTATGGTAGTACAATTCTTTAAAAATATATATTTTTCTCTCAATTATGAATAGAATTCATATTGAATATGTAACCAAAGCTCATGAACATAAAACTCTGTGAAGTGTAAAAGTTGAAACGGCATCTATATTTAGATTTTTGTGAAGAAAATATAATATTCTTCTTACAATTTGTAAGAAGAGCAACGGAATGGTCTCTATCGTAAGAATCGAGAATTTTAATGAAGGAAAAGTTTTAATGACTTTGAATATATTTGTTATGTGCCGAGATATGAAACGCTTTGAAAATATTAATTATAGGGTGGCAACCGGAGGTTCTAGGAAAACTACGAAATATACTTATATGTATATTATAATAAGAACTACATATTAAAACTAAAAACCTACACCTAAGACTACATGATTGACCCGATGTTAGAATAGCAATACCATTCCATAGCTTGTGTGGTATCAGGAATCTTCTGGTTCGCACGGCTTGGTGTTCTGTGGAGTCAGTAGCGTCACTCGTTATATATTTTATCCATACAACGATGTCACCCCGGCGATGTTCATTTATTTCTTCATATGTAATGCTTACGTAACTTATTAAATATATATAATGACACTTATAACAAATATTAATGCCATTTATTTCCTACGAGAAAAAAAATACGCCTTATCAACTATAGAGAAAAAGATAAGCGCTTGCAATAAATTTTCTTGAAAGTCGTGTAAGATTACTCTCCTTTATCATCTTCGTGAAAGATTCCTTTATGCTCGTTACATTTTATCCAGCCGAGTGTTCCTAACAAACTTCGACACTATACGAAATAAATATGTGTACATTATAAAGGGAGAGAAAACATTTTTAAAATTAATAACAGCTGACAGGAAAACATCGCGTTGAGATAAAGAAACTGTTTTCCGACCTCTGACTAAAAGCAATCGTTTATCTCTTACAGACGATTGCTTTCTCCAGTTTTCTTATTTGAATCACTTTTCAATAGTCATCGTGTGATTTGTTTTATATCAATATTAAGACAAAACGTTAAAAAAAATTTTTTCCTTTCACTAGTTTGTCGAAGTAAACGGATTGCTATAATTTAATTGCAGGCGTTTATTTAATTTATTCTATTGTTCTGTTAAAGGCATCTGTTTCTCTCCTTCGTGCGGAGAGACAAGAGACCAGCTTTACGTGAGATGGCAGCAGCGAGTTCTACCACCGCTTGTGCTGCGGTTACCGCTCATGCTGACCATCCGGTATGTAGAAAACATGTTATATAGAACATCATCAGCCTATAAAAGCTCACTGCTGAGCAAAGGCCTCTTCTCACATGGAGAAGATTTGAGCATTAATCACCACGCTTGCTCAAGACGGGTTGACGATTTAAAACTTATAATTTGATATTAAGGTCCAGGTTTCCTCACGATATTTTCCTTCATCAGTCAGCAGTGTGTAAATACCCTTAGAAAGTACATATGACTTGGAAAAATTAGGTACATTGGTTTGAAAACCGCGCTCTCAAATGAAAGGCGAAAATTAAATGATCAGGCTACCACGACTTTGAAATACCAATTAATCTTCTTAAATCTTAATTTTATTAAAAATAATAATTTGGTAATCCGATTTAGTTGTTTATCGAAAACTATATTTCATTTTGAAATAACTACAATTTCATCCAAAGATTTTATGTTTGAAATGTTGTAACATACTAAAAAAAACAATTTCAATAAAAGAAATACTTTGCGATAAGTTTTGCAGTAAAATAATGTTAAAGCGTGCTGAAACCTATTTCGTATTTTATTTGTGGTATCATAATAAGAACATATTACATTATAATATTTCAGCAAAATATTTTTGGGGCACTGATAAGTAATGCTCAATTTACAATTTAAAACCATCTTTACAAGACAATTCACTCCCGAATTTACATGGGACAGTATTGACCTGGTCAAGGAAATAAAGGAATTAAAATTTCAGGCAAAACTAAGTCTTGCCTCCAAGATTCATGGTCTCGCGGAGAGATTGCAGCAACTTGGAAAGGGTTCCGGAGACTCGGTGGATGGAGAGAAGGGTTCTAGAAGCAGAACTGGTGAGTTTATGTACTCATATCGTATCTTTACCATAATGTGGATAAAGTTGTTTTTTAAACAAGAGATGCCAGCCTCGCTGACGTCACTAATGTCACTTCTTTCAGTACATTCCATGATATTTCATAATGAAACTTCAATTCTTCTAAATGTCTCTATATTTCTCGAAGGTTCTTCATAATCACATTATTCAATGATCCGCACTAACTGAACTCTGCTGTCGTGGGTCCAGACGTCATATTTATACTCAAATCCAAACATAGTTCTATTCTCCTTTTAAACAATCTTTGATTCCGTTTTACTTTTAACAATAATCATGAATACTAATGAGTTTTAATATTATTAATGACAGCCAGAAGTTGTTATAGTTCTATGGCATTAATTAATTATTAATACTGATATCGCATATATATATACGTAAAATTCTGATAGAATGGTAACATTTTCCAGGCAGCGTTCATCCAATGTTCTCTGTTACGACTCATCCATCATACTCCTCTCACGAGCTGTGTCTAGGGAGGTTGGAGACCAGCCCCAGTCACAGCCAAATGTCGAGGAACTCCAGCCGGAAAAGCAGCAATAGCTTACGTGTGAATCAATCAACGAAGATAGAAGGTATATATACTGTATAGAAAGAGATTTTAAAAAGAAACAAGGTTTTAGGATAATACGCTATTGCTTACTTTACTTTATTTTCTTTATTCGTTTTTACATAATAGGATTATGTAGTCATGAAATCTAATATAATTTAAATGAATACACACGCAAACCTTAGATATCATAATGAGATTTCAAATTATAGCAATAATTTTTTTATTCAAAATTGACTGATATTCAAGAACAGGGTCAGGATTTATATTATGTTTTATAAATATGTTTTTATCTAGTTAATTCTTTATATCTTAAAATACAAATATAATCCTTAATAAAGGAAGTAGTTTAAAACGTCACTAATTTTAATTTGTATTACAGACTTCAAGCACCTAATGCGACGTCCTTCAACCATTGAAGTTCATACAGCTCGAGTCTCTCTTAAAGACATCGTGTGTTACCTCTCCCTCCTGGAAGCTGGCAGACCTGAAGATAAACTGGAATGTAAGAACACTACCAGCAGATAAACTCTTATTACATCAACCACTCGGATCATGCCCTTATCTGCTACTTTTAATTAAGATTCATATAGTACAAATTAAATTTTAATCTTGCTATAGCCAAAAGTATGTAACAATAGCTCCAATTTATTCTACAGCATTCACTTCATTTTATTCTAATGATTTTTATATAAATATTCAGTGTTATGCAGTAGTAAATTTACTGACTGAGGATATTTTGTTCCAAGTGAGCCTCAAAATCTAAATTTGAATATTAATCATTAAGTAAGCTAATATATTTCTGTTCTGGTACATTTCCAGTTATGTTCCGTTTGTACGACACGGATGGTAACGGAGTCTTAGACACCAATGAGATGGACTGCATCGTGAACCAGATGATGACCGTCGCGGAGTATCTTGGCTGGGAGACATCTGAACTTAGACCGGTGAGTCTACACAACCAGGGATGAGAAATATTACTAGATTTAACTCATAGAATAGCTTTGTATATGAATTAGGTACATAATGAGAATGAGATGCTTTAAGACAGCAATGAGTTGAATTTTTGAAGTGAAACTTCGTGAAACAAACGTGGAATAAGATCGCGTTAAACGTTTTACTCTCCTTGAATATAAAGAGACACTAAAAACTCCTAAAAGTTGTTAAAGAAACTCAAAAAATTCCTTAAAAATCAATTGCTACCCTTTCCTGTATTTATTCCAACATTACGAAGTTTCACTTCTTCCGCTCGGATCGACTCCACGGACTATAAATTTAAACTTATATATGAGGAAATAATCAATTTATTCATTTGTTGACAGATTCTACAAGACATGATGGTGGAAATAGATTATGACGCTGATGGCACCGTTTCTTTGGACGAATGGAATAGAGGAGGGTGAGTTTCATTACTTTTTGTAAGTCCTAAAAAATGTTTCATTCTAATGCCATTTAAAATACAAACTTTTCTAAATTATTTACCAACTTTGATTTGTTTACCTAGCCTGTACTTGCATTCAAATAGAGCAAACCTGATTCAGTATATTTGTTTATCGTCAATATAAACCTTCATAATCTGATAGTCATATCAACTGAAGTGTAGTTTTAGGTAGAAATATAAAAAAATAATGCAAATCACTTTTTTGTAATATAACTGTATGTATTGGAAAACTGAATAACGCTGAAAATTCAAGGTCATAAAATCCTTACTTTCAATTGTAAATTTTATTTATAAATGCACTGTAAGGAATAATGAATTATTTTTAACGAAGTTTTGTAATAAGAAAATTAGAACATTATAATTTTCCCGCTAAACATGATCAAACAGACAAAGCCACATTCAAAAGCTAGTGTAATATATTTTGATTTCAGAATGACGACAATACCGCTTCTAGTATTATTAGGTTTGGACACCAACGTGAAGGAGGACGGCGAGCACGCGTGGAGACTGAAACACTTCAACAGACCGGCGTACTGCAACCTGTGTCTCAACATGCTGGTCGGCTTGGGGAAGAAAGGACTCTGTTGTATATGTAAATAGAATTCATTTTAAAATTATATATTCTCTTTGGTAAGATTCTATCGTTTCTCGTAGAATTATATCGGAATTTAAATTAAGAATCATATAATATACATGTTTTAAAAATCAGTTGTGGCCTAGTGGTTAAAAGGTCCGTCTCTCATGCATGAGGGCGCGCATTCGATCCTGGCAAGTACCAATGTGATTTTTCCGAGTCATAGTACTTTCTAAGAGTATTTAGACATTACTGATTAATGCATGCCCAAAAAGTATTGATGTCAGGATTGTTATTATAAGCAAGACCCCGGCTGAAGCTGGGAAATTGCTAGGAAGAAGAAGATAGTATACATGTTTTGTTTTACTTTTTCGACTCTTTTGTGCCATACAAAATGTAATTTTTTCTTGAAATATGAAGAGTTTTTAAACAAACCATAAATATACATTTTAGTTACACATTAGAGATTAAGAATATATAATATTAAAGGACAATAATGAATTTCTAATCATTCTCAAATTACTGTACTGTCATATGAGTTACATATTTCGACTTATGTATAAATGTTTCTTTGTCAGTCTGTAAGTTCACTGTCCACGAGCGTTGCGTGCAGCGAGCGCCTGCATCATGTGTAGCGACGTACTGCAAGAGTAGACGAGCACCGGCCGCACTCGCGCACCACTGGGTCGAGGGTACGTATATACAGACAGACACACAGAGAGAGAGAGAGAGAGAAATAGTGAGAAAAAGAGATGGAGGGGGTTAAAAAGAAGGAAGATACACAAACATAAATACACAAAACCCTTCCTAATTAATATAAAACGTGAGGATTAAAAAATTTACTTAACTTCTATGACGTAACTTATGGACCATTAACAGCTTGCGGCTAAGATTTTTAAGCTCATTAATATGCAAATAAATTTTATTTGCATACGTCAGAGGTCATTGAACTTTAGGAAAACTAAAACTAAATAATTATAATCTTATATTACAGGAAACTGCCACGGGAAATGTGCGAGATGTCGGAAGAAAATCAAAGGTTATAACGGAATAACTGGACTACACTGTCGGTGGTGTCATATTACTGTGAGTAATATTAGGAAAGAAGAGAATAAAGAATAGAATAGAATAGAAGATTGTACAGAGCATTTGTTACAAGTGGCGCCATCTGTGGCGTACTAATTATAATATACTATAATACTAACAATTTTGTAATGTCAATATTTAAGTATCAACTTGTATTTGAAAACTATAAATACTGGCTTCAGCCATTTTGTTCGATAACTGGAAGTAAAGCTGAACATTGAAAATCAAATCTGCAACTGTACCTCGAACATATATTTATTATATTTACAGTCAATAGATTCTTGTAGGCACATGAGAATATCTAGAAGTTTATCTCAAATTGTGAATATATATAAGTATTGTATGTAGTATTTTCTTCTTCTACCTGGCAATTTCCCAGCTTTAGCCAGGGTCTTACATGTTGTGAATAGTTTTGGCTATTTGTTTTTACGACCGACCGCCTGTCTGACATCAACCCTCTTTGGTAATAATTGTAGTATATAATGTATTATATTTCGTTCGTAGCTCCATAACCGTTGTGTGGGCAGCGCGGGTGGAGCGTGTACGCTCGGCAGACACGCGAGACACATTCTGCCGCCGACAGCCATCAGGCCGTTGGTACTAGACAGACAAAGATCACTACCACACAGACATACGCCGGATAAGGTACTCTTATGTTGTAAATACGTTGGAACCTTACTTGTAGAAAAAGAGGGAGGTATGGGAATAAGGAGATGGCAGGAAAGGGGACAGGGAGAGAATACAGGGTTAAAACCATGAAAGTTGATCGGCAAAACCAGCACACGAACATGGACCATAAGAAATTAAACCTAATTTTTTTTATCCATAATGTATTATTTCAGCAAACCCTACCAGTGTCGATATCTCTTCCTATTTCCATCGCAGCGACCACAGAAGAGAAGAAAGAAGAGAAGGAGAAGGAGAAAGAACACAGAGCTCCACCTATATCCTTTCAAATAACTCCACCAGAGGGCACTTGTCCGTTATTAGTCTTCATTAACCCAAAATCTGGAGGCCGACAAGGGTCTAGAGTACTTCGAAAGCTCCAGTATATCTTGAACCCTCGACAGGTACATGATATAGCCAAAGGGGGGCCAATGCAAGGTAGTTGTAAACCATCATTAAAGAATTTTATGTCTTTGATTTCTATCACACAAAAGTTTGTATATTTCAGGTTTGCAAACATTCAAAGACGTTAGAAACTACAGAGTGATTTGTTGTGGTGGAGACGGAACTGTTGGCTGGGTGTTGGAGACTATGGGTATGTTGATATAAATGTTCTGATAGATATAATATAACTACATGATGCGTGCGACTTCTTCCGTTCATTAATGTACTAACGAACTTCTTACAAGTGCTAGAAAATACCACAACTCAATAAACACTCTAATAAATGAACAGTAATATGTGGAATAGGGACATATATTTTCTCGCTTGAAACAAAACAGATGTCTATCTCAATTCATAAGTACATAGACCTCTTAATATTTATGAAGAACTTCAAATATCAGAAGCTTAACTAAATCTACTATCATAAAACAATTAGTATATAACAGATTTTTGACTAATAAAATTAATTATACACACACAAAATCATTTCTAAAGTTCCTTTACTTTGCGATCAATTGACGTTGTTACAATTTATCATACTACCCTCGTACCAAGTTATATCATTGTATATTTTGTTTGTCGTTTTCTCTCTCATGTTTCTCGTATTTCCAGATAAAATCCAGATGGAGTGTCGCCCAGCGGTCGGCGTCATTCCTCTTGGTACCGGCAACGACCTGGCCAGGTGTCTGCGGTGGGGTGGGGGGTGAGAATTAATCATAACTCCTTAAACCGTTTCATACAAATCACATAATAAATTATTGCAAGTCAATTGAGATTAATTGTAATACAATAAATAGTGGCTGTAAATATTAATGCTTATGAATCAAAAAGTTGTTTCCATTATTTATATAAGAGTCACTTTATGTTAAAACTTGAATTGATAAAGAATTTATTAATTTGTTCGTTTTTTGGTGTATGTGGAATATTCAAGAACTATTTACTGACGTATCTGTTTATCGATGTAACGCAAAGTTTAGCAGCTATTAAATTCGCAATATTTAACTTTGGTAATATAATTTAATATAATTTCCTATCAAGTTGAAAATTATATTTTCTTAGTCTTTTTAATTGTTTATAAGTGATCTGATTAAAAAATACATGAAAAATGTATACCTGTAATAAAATTTATTTGTATCTGCTCATTGATCCTACATTTTTACATGAAATATATTTAGCATTGCTATCGCCACGAACATCATACAAATAATTTTAGCAATAATATTGTATGACGTACCCAACAAACTGTTTAGTGTGTACCTATGTACATTTTTAAATTGTTTTTCGGAGATAAATAAAAAAACGAACATTACTTAAACTCTATAATATTTTGAGATCTAATATTTTCTCGAGTACTCATTTAAATGAAACTAATATTTTCGGATTTACATCTCGTCTCGTCTGTCCGTGATCACGGTTGCTGTAAAGTAACCGAAACGTCGGGAGTATGTAGTTTATAGTCCAAAATAAAAACCCGCGTAGTAAATCGGAAAATATTAGTTTCATTTATAATATTTTTCAAAAGAATTCTATTAACTAATAGTAATAAAACACCCAAATAAATCTCTTTAATCTAGAAGTGTATGCCCAGGTATGAAGGCGAATCAATCCATAAGATTCTGGACAAGATAGGTCGCGCCAGTACCGTCATGATGGATCGATGGCACATACATGTTGAGAATTCAACGGATGAGGTGAACTTACTACTATACTATACAATAGTTAATCAGTTACTATAACTATAAATTAATCTCTTTATATAGAAAAGGACCAAGCGTTGACAAAGGACCAAATTTTTTCAAATGTATATACCACGCTTAATTTTTTGCATGAGAAACTTTAAGAGTTTTGAAAACTCAATTTTACTATATAATTGGTAATACAAACTGCTTAATACTACTAATGAAATTACGAATTAATATTATCAAATATCCAACATTAGATTTTCATATTATTTTTAGGTATGGACCATATTAGTGTACAAAAAATATTAGAATTACTGAATGTATTGAAATATCATCTTCATATAGAATAATATGTTGATATTCAATCTTTATGTTAATATCCTTTCGTTCCAGGTGGAACAACTCCAGATGCCTGACTCAGCTCCTCACCCTACATCTGTACCATACAACATCATCAACAACTACTTCTCCATAGGCGTTGTGAGTACAAAAATAAATTATAATATACATATGTCCCATTAATTATATAGGTGACAACTGGAGGTTCCAGGAAAACTACGACACTTACTTATAAGTATGTATGTAAAAATAGGAACTACATATTAAAACTTATAACCTACACCTAAGACTACATGATTGACCCGATGTTAGGATAGCAATACCATTCCATAGCTTGTGTGTATCAGGAATCTTCTGGTTCACACGGCTTGGTGTTCGTTCCGCGGAGTCAGCAGCGTCACTCGTTGTATCATATTTATCCATACAACGATGTCGCCCCGGCGATGTTCATTTATTTTTTAATATGTAGCATATACAACACAATTATAAATTTCATGTTTTTTAAAAAGACTGACTTCAGTATACCTGACGTCACCAATGCCTGTTCTTGATTGCCGTCAGGCTATTGAAGGTAACTTTGTAGATTGTTTAACTAATCCCTTAACCTCGAAGAGGTCCGATTCTATAACGTCTCGAGCAAGACTGTCTTTAATCTTTACCCTCGCCTCTATTTATACCAACTCTCACTCATTATTGTGACTACACTTACACAAGTGGATATACAGGAGACACCTGATAATTTCAACTACCCTAAATTATTGCTTCTTTGAATAATATCAATTGCGCCGATATATACATTAAAATAATTCCCAACATGGCCTTATTAATCCAGACTTCAATTAAAGTTCGGCCTCTTAGTACTTATTCATACATATATATATATCGGATTTATTACAGATTCGTTGATTTTAAAGCGAGGGACGCCAGCCTTGCTGAGGTTACAAATGTCACTTCTTCTAGAGCGTTGCATGATATTTTAAAATGAAACTGCAATTGTTCTTAATGCTCCTGTATTTCTAGAAGGTTCCTCACAATTACATACTTCAATGATACACACTCACTGAACTCTGAACTACGAGTATCAATTCTCACTTCTGGAGTCTCCGTCGTGAGTTCAGACGTCATATTTTTTTACAAGATTCAAACATAATTCTATTCTCCTTTGATTTCGTTTTACTTTTAACAATAATCATAAATACTAATGAGGTTTAATAAGAATTGATGATAGCCTTCAATTATTTTCAAGTCGCATCCGTTATTAAAGCTGGTAGCGCCGATATACACATATATTTTATATAGTATCCTCTCCTCCAGGACGCCGCTATCTGCGTCAAGTTCCACACGGAGCGTGAACGGAACCCGGACAAGTTCAGCTCCAGGATGAAGAACAAGCTGTGGTACTTCGAGTTCGCGACCTCGGAACAGTTCGCGGCCAGCTGCAAGAACCTGCACGAGAACATCGAGCTCGTGGTGAGATGGCTCGAGTAGACATATATGAGTAGACCAAGTATCGAAAAGACTGGTGGTGAGATAAGTGGATGGATGGATGGTCCAATAGTTGGGCCTCAAATATAGGAATAGAACATATCCAAAAGTTTTTTCGTGTATTCCAGAAAAGTAGCAAGGCTTAACATCCAAGTATTGCTAAAACTAACTTATAGTATCCCATTGACCATTCTAACGTAGATATACTTGAATAGAACTCGATTTAGAAGCCTTAAGGCATTAAGTAATGTAATGAAACTTAATAACTTCCCTTACATTCAGTGTGACGGAGTTTCCCTCGAGCTGAACAAGGGTCCCGCGCTACAGGGAGTCGCTCTGTTGAACATACCTTACGCACACGGGGGGTCCAACCTGTGGGGGGCCAGCGGGGCCCATAGACGGGGGAGGTTCCCGGACGCGCAGCAAGGTGACACATACACACACAGACATACACACACACACACACACACACACGCACACACACAAGCTTAATGAGATTTAAATACAGCACACACATAAATATAAAAGTAACTAGTCTTTGTTCATGACTTCGTCTGCGTTACTATCAAAATTAGAAATATATCAGCCCGGTCAAACTCTGTGCCTCCTTAAAGACAGTAAATAAGAAGATTTTGGATTTTTTTCAGTTTTTTTTTTCAATCGTATGATAAGTATCTCTTCACCAATTTTCAAAAAAACCCGCATAGCAGTTCTTGAGTTATAAATAGTGTAATACTACTTTCTTTTATATATTAAGATTTGTAATTGTTGCTATGTTATAGATATTGGTGATAAGCTGATAGAAGTCATAGGCTTGGAGAACTGTCTACACATGGGACAAGTTAGGACAGGTAGGTCTACATATATGACAACAGGATTCAAACCTGTAATAATTTATGTTTTAGTATTATTCAGGATAGAGTGTAAAAATAAATACGATAATTTTATGAAAATAACTACAAAAAGTAAAAGATATACTTAGCTCCTCAGCTGTCTTGAAAATTGACCTTTGACCTTGCTCATACTTGTATATGTGTTATAATAAATAAATAATACGTTTATTATACTCCTTATTAAATTTACCTCACATATTTTAAGGTACCGTTTAATTTACCTGAGTTCCAATAAAATTGACTACAGAATTTTATCAGGGAGAGGTTAGGTCAGGTTATAATAGACCCTAAAATCTTTTGAGCATGATCGTAGCACATTCTAGAATTGTCAAAAACAAAAATAATATGTACTCAAAGAACTCTATGACATAGGGCTTCGAGCGTCAGGACGGCGTTTGGCTCAGTGTAGTAGCATCAGACTTATAACGAAAAGGACCTTCCCCATGCAGATTGATGGAGAGCCATGGATGCAGCCGCCTTGCAAGGTGAGAGAAGATAATAATTTAATATATTTAGTCCAAAAAACTTAGTTTGGAAACAAAAAGACGTTAAATTAACAAAAAATAAGACAGATAGACATGATGATAAGAAAGAATAGAGAGTAGGGAAAGGCTTAAAATGACTTTAGTTCAGAGGCACCAACAAAAAATATTACATAAGTTTTACTACATTAAGAGTATGAGCTTTTCTTTAATATGGTTCAAATTCTTTCATAAATCTATTTTGAATAACTTTTTCAAACTTGACTTAATTTTCTTACTAAGTATAAGTAACAATAACTATTTAATAAGTGTATTACATGTTTTATGAAAAAGATTTGCTCACTTAGGCCTAAATTAATCAATTATGAAAATTTTTATGTAGTCGACATTGTAACCAAATTTTTTTGGCCGCAATCCCTTAATGTATACAGAGATTGTCAATAAATTTCAGATAACAATAACCCACAAGAACCAAGTTCCGATGCTGATGGGACCGGCTCCCGAAAAGGGAAGGAGCTTCTTCAAACTGTTCACGCACTGCTAAGTCCCTCTCACACCCATTCCATTAAAAGCTGGCCAGAAAGAGATAGATGTACGATATAAGTTTGTCCATAGAAACAACATCTCGTTGTTAGCATTTTAGTTCAATAATGACCACAACCCAACATGGCTTCTTCATAGCTTTCTAATCGAGGCTTGTACCAAAATTATACGTCCATTTTTGCAATTTTAAATAATATATTTACATGGCAGAATAGGATAAGCGTTTTTTTAAGTTTATCTTTTAGTTTAAGATAAATTTCTCTTTTAAAGACACGCTGAATAGTTTTTTGATCTATTTCCGTAGTAATCCTCGCGTCATCTATAAGTTCAAATGATTTGTCAATCAATCGCCATTTTGTTGTATCATCGGCGTATTTGTTAATGTATATTAAATGTTTTAATATCTGTGTATTGAAGATATATACGTGACTGTTTTTATGTTTTGTAAATATTATTATTAACAATGTAACTGTAATCTCAAACGACGGGTTTTAATTTTTAGCTTATATTATAGTTTTAGGATAAGTTTTTTAAATTTTTTAGAGCTTCTTTTGAACTACCGTCCATTGTGATGCTCTCGGTGTGAGTTTGACTTGACGATGTGTGAAATTCAGTTCAAAAAACTTCTTGACAAATATATACTACCTTCTTAGACTACACCAATAGAGTAGTATTAAGGAATAAGTTACTACTCTTAATGCAGTTACTACTCTTTGTTCCTTTCCAGGAGTAAAAAGAATTATAAACTCCTGGAACAACCTTACAGGCCACTTGGCCATAAGAGGGCAGTAAATTCAAAATATTCATACTATCAAAGTTATTTTAAACTGTGAATTATTGTACTTTTTATTGTTAATTGAACTCATACCGAGGGAAGAAATAGAGTCCTTTAAGAAAATATCACGCACTTTTAATAATTTGAATGCAACCTTACGTATTTTAATTCTGATATTTTAAGTAGTTAATACAAATGTTGTGTAAGTTTTTGTTATTTTCTAAGTGTTGGTGTTTGAACGACTATATGGCGGTCAGCGAATATTGAATTTCTATTAAAAATGATTATAAACATATAATTAATTACAGATATTATATAAAAAATCTTGGTATAAATATCAATTTATTGTTTTATATATTATTAATCGAATTCTATATATTATAATTACATTTTTGAAGAAAACTACTTAGTTTAAAATATTTTTTATTATGGCAACATTTGCTGAACGTCAAATATCAGATCGATGTAAACGTTGTTAATGATTTTTCTGTCGCGAATATTTACCTTTTACAGCTTTAATAGATGTAAGAAATATATTATTGTATATTGTAAAAATATATGTGCATTTAAAATAATTTATGGTTTTTCTATTGGTTTCATTTAACTCGATAATTTATTTAAATAAAGATATATAAGACGGTGAAGGACATGTGAGGAAACCTGGACTTATAATTTCACAATTATAAGTTTGAAATCACCAACCCGTCTGAGCAAGCGTGGTGATTAATGCTCAAATCTTCTCAATGTGAGAAGAGGCTCAGCAGTGGGCTCTGATAGGCTGATGATAATATCTTTAATATTTTACACTGACAATGTACCATATATTCAATATGACTAAAAATAATTGTGGTATGGCAACACTGAACTTACAACAGTCAGTGAGTGTATAAAAAAGCAATTAGTATTAAATTATTTTTGTAACAATAATGATTCATATCCCGACGTTACTTATCATTTTGACGCCTGAAGGCTTTAATAAACTGAAATTGCTTTATACCAATTAAAAAGTTTAAAACAAGTTTTTCGTTTGAACAGTAATATATTATTTACTAATTACGTGTGTGTTTGAAATTATGGGACAGAATATGATTTTCTTAACACTATTTATTGTCACACTGTGATGAGTGTTGCCATTAACATATTATAGAAAAAATATTTTTAAAGTGAAACTTTTTATCACTCCAAACAAGGTTGCGTTAAACGTTTAACGCTCCTGGGGGGATGAAAAGAGACAGAGCGATAGGTAATGCGTGTCGCTAGAACACATGCGGGCTATCAATAGTGACTTGTAAGTAATGTTAATAAAGTTTGTTTTAAAGAAACACTCAAAATTCCTTAAAAATCAATTTCCACTTCTTCCCGTTTTCATTCAACCTAACGAAGTTTCATTTCTTCAACGCGGAGTTACTCCACGCACTATTTTTTTTTCCATTACTTAAATGAAATAAAAAGGTTTATAGTACCTTTAATTATCTACATTTTTAAACTTTATCTTTATTTATAGTTAAAATTGTATATGCTTATACAGAAACATAATGACAGCATCTTTCAAAATATTATTTATTACAATTCTCCATTATCATAATATGTCGTTCATTTCAACCAAACGCAAACAAAACACCGGTTCTTGTAATTAAGATACATTTTCTCTTTTAATCGCTACATCTCATCCAACCGCAGCCTGTTATTATAAAAAACGTTAAATGTCAAACAGCTGTCAATGTCACGGGACGTTTTGACAGAAGTAATATTAGTTAAAGGTTTTATATATCTTTAATTACTACTATGAACCCACATACAAATGATTGGATATTTTTAAATACCTTCATCCCTACTTATATTATAAATGCGAAAGTAACTCTGTCTGTCTATCTGTTACGCTTTCACGCCTAAACCAATGAACTGATTTTAATGAAATTTGGTACAGAGATAGAGTTGACCTTGAGAAAGAACATAGGATAGTTTTTATGCCAGACTTTTGAAAGGTTCTCTTGGAAACGCGATATAACCGAACTCCACGCGGGCGAAGCTGCGGGCGGAAAGCTAGTATATATATAATTAAAATACAATAGTAGTCAGAATGTTCAAACATCAGCCATGACAGTTGTTCGGTTGCATTCCTTGTAAAGGCCGTTACTATGTGGGCGTGTTTGTTTTAATTTAAAGAAATTTCGATGTTGATAGTAATATTCAAAATATTTACAAATTAATTATGTGCAATTAGAGGTTCCAGGAATACTTCAAAACATACTTATATGTATATTATAATGAGAATTACATATTAAAACTTATAACCTACACCTAAGACTACATGATTGACCCGATGTTAGGATAGCAATACCATTCCATGGTATCAGGAATCTTCTGGTTCACACGCTTGGTGTTCGTTCCGCGGAGTCAGCGGCGTCACTCGTTATATATTTTATACATAGAACGATGTCGCCCCGTCGTTCATTTTCACCTGGGTCGCAACTCCCAGTCACTGTTGAAGCTCCTCTCACTACAACGATGGACCCGACACACGCACCGTGAATACATTGAATGATGAGAGGTAACGTCTCTCTATATATATTAAACCTACACCTGGGTCACAAGTCCCAGTCACTGTTGAAGCTCCTCTCACTACAACGATGGACCCGACACACGCACCGTGAATACATTGAATGATGAGAGGTAACGTCTCTCTATATATATTAAACCTACACCTGGGTCACAAGTCCCAGTCACTGTTGAAGCTCCTCTCACTACAACGATGGACCCGACACACGCACCGAGAATACATGGAATGATGAGAGGTTTCGTCTCTCTATATATATTAAACCTACACCTGGGTCACAAGTCCCAGTCACTGTTGAAGCTCCTCTCACTACAACGATGGACCCGACACACGCACCGTGAATACATGGAATGATGAGAGGTTTCGTCTCTCTATATATATTAAACCTACACCTGGGTCACAAGTCCCAGTCACTGTTGAAGCTCCTCTCACTACAACGATGGACCCGACACACGCACCGTGAATACATGGAATGATGAGAGGTTTCGTCTCTCTATATATATTAAACCTACACCTGGGTCACAAGTCCCAGTCACTGTTGAAGCTCCTCTCACTACAACGATGGACCCGACACACGCACCGTGAATACATGGAATGATGAGAGGTTTCGTCTCTCTATATATATTAAACCTACACCTGGGTCACAAGTCCCAGTCACTGTTGAAGCTCCTCTCACTACAACGATGGACCCGACACACGCACCGTGAATACATGGAATGATGAGAGGTTTCGTCTCTCTATATATATTAAACCTACACCTGGGTCACAAGTCCCAGTCACTGTTGAAGCTCCTCTCACTACAACGATGGACCCGACACACGCACCGAGAATACATGGAATGATGAGAGGTTTCGTCTCTCTATATATATTAAACCTACACCTGGGTCACAAGTCCCAGTCACTGTTGAAGCTCCTCTCACTACAACGATGGACCCGACACACGCACCGTGAATACATGGAATGATGAGAGGTTTCGTCTCTCTATATATATTAAACCTACACCTGGGTCACAAGTCCCAGTCACTGTTGAAGCTCCTCTCACTACAACGATGGACCCGACACACGCACCGTGAATACATGGAATGATGAGAGGTTTCGTCTCTCTATATATATTAAACCTACACCTGGGTCACAAGTCCCAGTCACTGTTGAAGCTCCTCTCACTACAACGATGGACCCGACACACGCACCGTGAATACATGGAATGATGAGAGGTTTCGTCTCTCTATATATATTAAACCTACACCTGGGTCACAAGTCCCAGTCACTGTTGAAGCTCCTCTCACTACAACGATGGACCCGACACACGCACCGTGAATACATGGAATGATGAGAGGTTTCGTCTCTCTATATATATTAAACCTACACCTGGGTCACAAGTCCCAGTCACTGTTGAAGCTCCTCTCACTACAACGATGGACCCGACACACGCACCGTGAATACATGGAATGATGAGAGGTTTCGTCTCTCTATATATATTAAACCTACACCTGGGTCACAAGTCCCAGTCACTGTTGAAGCTCCTCTCACTACAACGATGGACCCGACACACGCACCGTGAATACATGGAATGATGAGAGGTTTCGTCTCTCTATATATATTAAACCTACACCTGGGTCACAAGTCCCAGTCACTGTTGAAGCTCCTCTCACTACAACGATGGACCCGA